GCTCCCAGGGTCTCAGCTTGCAGAGCTGGTAATTAGCCCCTTTGTGTCCAGTTAGCCACCTTTCATCTCCTCCGCCCGCTGGTGTCCGCTTTCCCCCAGCATCTCAGCTCCGCAGGCCCTTCGCCCTCCTCTCGGCCAGCTCAGGTTGTTTGTCAGGGACGGTGGCTGAGGGCCGCATGCACTCAGGGGAGGCTGCTCCAGCCAGAGCCACTCACATTTTCCATCCTAGGTGCCAGACCTCTCTCTCCCCCCATTCCAGGTTTCGGTCACCTGGCTAAGGAGCAGTCAGGTGATAGCTGGGTCCCCAAATTTCGATCCTTTTGGAGTCTGGGTATTGCCTTTCAGTTCCTCTGCATGGGTGAAATGGAAGCTGATGAATCACAGCTTTCATACTTCAGCAAAGATCCTGCTCTTCCTTATCTCCAGCGTCCACCCTGAAACATAGACGTCTCTGCTCTGAGGCCGCCGTGCGTGCGGGGTCCCAGCCCAACCTCCTGAGGGTACCTGCGCTCATTGTCCTTCTATTTAACCATTTAATGGATATAAATGGAACCATTTATATCACATGCTGACTGGTGCACTAGCCACTAGCCACACTAAAAGCTCCTTGTATTCTATTTACATGTATACATTTATGTTCAGCGTTAAAGAAACTTAAACATTTTAGTCCACTGTGGCTATAGCTGTTGCTGGACAGCACAGGTGGAGAACATTTCCATGACACAGGAAGTTCTGTTGGATACTCTGATCTGTACAACCAGAAATTCCAGTAGATTGGCATCCAAACCATATCTTACCAACTGTTTCTTCCTCCTAGATGGTTCTAAAACTCCCCTGACCTTTCAAGTCACTCGAGCTCCCAACATCAGTGTCTGTTGGGATTGGAGGCCACCTAGAACAGAGGCTCTGAAAATCTGCCCCTTAAGAACTCGAAATTCACCAATACCAAGTTTGCAAGCCTGCTGCTCCGATGCCGGGGGGCACGCAGGGCCCTGATCCCCTCGGTGTCTGCGATCTTCCAGACTTTATTTGCAAAGGAGGGAACTGGTGTCTGTTAGTTGCAGCCGAGCGGCCGCACGTGACACCTGGATGTGCAGTCCGCTGCTGGCCGTGGGCCCGGGGCAGCGCCGGGAGGATCACAGCTGGCCAGATGCTTCTAGACCTGCCCTGCCCTGCCCTGGCGCTGAGGGCCGAAATGCCACTCACAGCCCCCCCTTCTTCCTCGCGGGGCCTCTTGGAGATGACCTAGCCTCAGAGGGAAGAGAAAAGGATTTTTGTTCTTTTGCCTTTTTCCTAGTCCAGAGAAAAGAGGTGCTTTGCGGTAAGAGGTTTACCCAGAAGCAGTTTCTTTTTGGAACAGGGCAGTGCTTTATTCCTGCCAGTTCCTGCAGGCAGACAGCATGCTGGGCTGGCCTGCCACCTCAGCCCAGCCTGTCATGTGCTTCCTAAGTCGGACTTGAGTCCTTTTTTCCACTGCCTTCCCCACCCAGTCAAATTGCAGTTGCAACCTCTCATTTTTCTGCTGCCTAGATGATTAAAAAGCATGACTTAGTGGAAAAATCTTGACCTCCTTGGGGTCAGTCTCTTAAGCAGCTGTCGGAGATAAGATTGTGCTGGCAAAATACTCAGCAGCACTTTGCAAGGCTTTCTGTCAGTGTGTAAGGAAATGAGAAACTGGTTCTGGGAGCATTTTGTTTATTTTTAGAGCGAGCTACAGTTTTCAGAGACTCAAATTGGTATTATCTGTTAATAAAGTAAGATCACTAATGGAAGGGTTAATTAATTATAAACTATAATCATAAATTAACAAAATTTAAAATGCAATGAACAGGCTTCAAAAAAAAATTTTTTTTTTTTTTTTTTGTTAATATTCATGGCTCCTGCTTAGAGCCTTAGAGCAATGCAGGGAGCAAAGTTCTCTGGCAACTGAGCAGTATCAGAAGTTCAATGCTCAGACTTCCCCCCAAAGACTTAAAAGACTTAATTGTGCAGCTCCTGGTATGAAAGGCATTGTTTGAAGTTATTTTAATTACCGTGTTAGTATTGCTGCCTCTTGTTTGGAGATTGAATACTTACTGTAGCTCTGTTGAAACTGCTCCAAAGGGGACATTACAATTTGAATTTAGCATCTTTATTTTTGCCAAGAACTTGTACCCAGCTAGGTCACTTTCTCAAAAGGAGGAACTGAGGTGCAGGTGGTGAAAGGACCGAACTAGGGTTCCACCAGGGATGCCTTCGAGGCCCCAGTGGAACGCTGGGAGCGGGCTTGACACAGGGTGTCACCAAATGGATGCCTGCTTTGGAGTCCTCCACTTCCGAACCTGGGTCCACATTCGGTCGCTTCCCAGCTACGTGGCCTCGACTGTGCAGCTTTCAGTTTCCTTATAAATAAAATAGGGATCACACCACCACGTATGTATGTCGTAGGGTTATTGCACCAGACTGAGGTCCTGCTGTGCCTGTGTTCCGGGCATAGCTTCCAATCGTCCTCCTCTTCCTCATTAACCCCCACCCCCTAACTTTAGTTAAAGACCCACTCCCAGCCGGCAGTGACCACAGGCTCCCCACCCTAATGTCTTCTTCCTGCTCTGGCCTTGGCCTGGATCTTGTCCCTTTCCTCTCCCTGGATGACATACTTAGAACCCAGTTGCCCCCTCTCATCTGGGGAGTCCAGAGTGCATGAAGCGCTGGACTTGAGGTCAGTGGGGAGAGACACGGGCCCAGGTGTCCACCTCCTCTTGACATTCCACAACTGCCTTGGGTCCTGAGGAGTGTGAACACGAGTCTGGACTGGGAAGCTCGTCCTCTGGGCCTGTGCCCATGTGGTCATCTGGACGCCTGATCTGGGGCCTCCCGGAACCACCAAGGCAGTTAGAGCCCAGAGTCTTGCCCACCCACCCACCTAGTCTGTGTGATGGCTGTGCCTCCCAGGGCACCCCTCCATCCTCCAAGACACAGATGCTGAGAGCAGCTGATCTAATTTTGCATCCTGGCTCTTTCCTCTGCCCTCCAGAGACCAGGGGACCCAGTCTCAGTGCTCCCCGGAAGGGGGGGGGGGCAGGCTCAAAGGGCAGGATGTCTGAAAGAACCTCGGTTCCACTGATGGGGTTCCCCTTGCTTACTTCCAAAGCTTGCACAGAGAGGGCCTCCAGCTTTACTGAGACGTGATAAGGGGCCCTGAAAAACCACTTGACCTTCTCTGCTCAGCACAGGTGGGTCTGTGTGCCAGACACCTGGGCCTGCCTCTCCCCACTGACCTCAAGTCCAGCGCTTCATGTACTCTGGGACTCCCCAGATGAGAAGGGGCCACCGGGTTCTAAGTGTGACCATCCAGGGAGAGTAAAGGACAAGGGTAAGCCGCGTGTGGAGAAAGCCCCCGTGGGGCCGCACTCCCTGTGCCTTCTGTGACCCACACTGGCCACACCCTCCTCCGCCTTGTTTTCCTCCTGGCTGCCATGATACTTTTTATGAGCCTCGTTAAGTCTTTAATGACGCCTGGTTGTGCAGCTGGCTTAAGGCTTAATCCCCAGCAATAGGACTTTATTGGATAAATGGTTAATAATCGCTTGTCTGTGGGGATTGCGGAGGTTTCGTTGAAGCCCGTGGTTCCCGGGAGCCCCACGTGGCCGGTGATATGGATGGTCCCGTGACTGGGACAGGGCGCTGGGACTTGGGGTGCAGGAAGGTCGGCCACATGAAGCAGGGAAGGCCTGTGTTTGCAGGAGCTCATGTCTTCACCCTCCTAGGGACAGAAGACACCTGTTGGCTGGGCCTGGCTCTCTCTGAGCCAGAGTTTCCTCAACATGGGTCTCTCCCCACTGCTAATTTTGCTTCCCTTTCTTTTGCCATTAACAAACTGACCTTGAGCCAGTCTCCTTGGGAGTGATCCCTCTGGCCTCGACTTCCTCACGCATCAGATGGACAGGTTGGGAGAGATGACCTCGAAGGTGCTGTGTGGCTCTCCCCCCTGGGGCTGTTCCAGCCCAGCTTCCTGGACAGAGGCTCCCCTCTGGCTCCTGGCTAAGCTGTGGAGGGCTGAGCTGTGGAGGTCTGTGAGTGGCAAGGGCCCAGCAGCCCGCTGGATCAAGTGCTCAGGCCGCCAGGTGAAGACTCGGGCCAGCCGTAGTCACAGGGCAGTGTGTGCAAAGGGCATCTGCAGAGCCACACGTGGCCCCCCATTTTATAGCCAAGTTGGGGTTCCCCACTCTGGGCAGGGCCTTACAAAAGAAACTTCACCGATGGTACCCTAGAAAGAGAAGCCGACTATTGCAGGCGCGGAAGCGGCAAGGAGATGGGAGCCCTTTAGAGATGAAAATCACAGGGTTTGTCTCCAGCTTGGTGGTGACCGGGAGGCCATGGCCTAGAACCCGATTTGGCTTTTCCTGCTGCGGTGAAATCAAGGACCCATGTACTTGAGGCCCCGCATGGTGTTGGGGCATGAGGACAGGAGGCAAACCCAGGTTTGGTCTCATTCCACCATCACTCATTGCTAGGCTGCATGGTTTTGGCAACTCCTTTCACCAAGCTTGAGCTCCTGTAAGATAGAACTGATGACCTATCTTTCAGCGTAACTCTGTTGCTTTAGAATCATCCATGTAAAGCACCTGCTAGCTGGCTCACATGGGGCGCCAGCAGCTTTCCTAGGAGAAACTTGACGTGATGGTGGTGCCTGTTGTATGCTTTGGCTGGCTGGAGAAAAATGCCAGCAGCAAAGAGAGAGGTGACTTACCGTGGGTGACATGACTTGAATTCTTTCATCCGAAAGTAAAACAAAAGAGGCAGAGCTGCACCACCTCCGAGACTTGCCTGAAAATGTCCAGCGACCAGCCAAGGGGTGGTTTTCCTGGGTGCCCCAGAATTTGTTCCCGCCCCGCCCCTCCCCCTGCTCCCCCAGCGGGAGCACACGCCCTGGAACACAGCTGCGGGGAGGCCGAGTCCTGCGCTTGCATGTGAAGCGAGGAATGGAATCTCTGACGGGGCTTGCTCTGCTTTCCTTTCAGATCTTCCCTGACCCGTCAGACTTTGACCGCTGCTGCAAGCTCAAGGACCGTCTGCCGTCTATCGTGGTGGAGCCCACAGAGGGGGAGGTGGAGAGCGGGGAGCTCCGGTGGCCCCCCGAGGAGTTCCTGGTCCAGGAGGATGAGCAGGACAACTGTGAAGAAACAGCGAAAGAAAACAAGGAGCAGTAGAGTCCCGCGGACTCCCCGGGGCCAAGCAGCCGCGCTGTACCTGAACTGTGTTCTTTCCCAGTGTGATGGAAGAGCGTGAGCCACCATAGTTGTGCAAAATGTCAGCGATGGCTTCCGCTCTGCACCTGCAAAATCACTGAGTTGGTGTTCTTTTCTTTTCTTTCCTTTTTTGAAACGTGTCCGGCGGCGGAGCCCTCTGCGACACTTTGCAAGGCCTTCTGAGAGAGGAAGCTGCGGAGAGCAGGGTGGGGGTGCGGGGAGGTGCGTCTTCGTGAGATCGTTATCAGGCGGGCTCGCAGCGGCGGGATTCCAGTGGGCTCTGGGGGGTGGGGATGTGCAAAGCCAGCAAGGAGCACTTGGGGTGAAAAAAAAAAAAAAAAAACAAGCTGAAAGAGCCAGACCTTTGAGCAGAGAAAGGCAGCCAGGAAGTCCTCTGTGAGCATCTGCCCCGGCTTTCGGCTTCGGAGCATCAGACAGCAAAGCCTTTCCGTCTCCCCAGCGCTGCCCACCGCCAGCTTTTGCTTTTGTTTCAGGGGCGTTGGTCTTTATGGGGCGGCAGGTGAAGGACTCCGGTAGACACTGGCTTCCTGCCAAGCCAGCCTGAGGTGATGGTGGGGGGACAGGTCTCCCCTTTCCTTCTCCAGGGACGCTCTGTTCCCGGCTGGGGCAGTTCCACACATCCCTGGAGATCTGAAGCCTTTTTAATTTTTTTAAGAGGGAGCATGTTTGCGCTTCTCTCTCCTGACTTGTCCTTTCTGACGCTAGCCCTTTGGGGGGGCACAAGACATCCCTGGCCCTTGGAACGAAGCGCCCTCCTCACCTGCTTCCCCCCGACTTGCTCTCTGAGTCTGAGGGGAGGCCCAGAGTGGGACCAGGGCGGCCCTCCTCCATGCCCACCCTCCCCAGCCCGGCCGCAGAGGCAGGCCAGGGAGCGTCCTGGCCTGCTGTGGACTCAGCCAGCCCAGCCGAGCAGTCGCACCCACTGCTTCTGTGGTTCTTGGCCAGTTTTCCGGGGGGCTCTGGGTGGAGGCCCTGAAGCCTTTTCTGTGTCTCTTGGGGAAGTGAGCTTCCGTGCAGATCCCGGAGCTGCGGAGGCCTGGGAGTTACTAGATGGGGGTGACTTCGAGGCTTTCAACCTCCAGACCAAGTTTGAAGCCAAAAGATGCCAGGTGATCCCCGACTTCAACCTGTGTTGTTTTGGATAATGCGGTGAGGGAGTCCTAAATCACGGTCCTCATCCCACCCCACCTTCCACCTGCCCCCCAAAAGGGCCCAGTTGCTTGAGACGTTCACCTTGGACTTAGAGTTTCTCATCGTGGTTCAGAGCCATCAGGAACAGGCGCTTGCTGGCCAAACGCTTCCCATATCTCTACATCAGAGTGGCCGAGCAGCAGAGAGGCGGGCTCTGCTCAGCCCCCCAGGGCCCCTCCTTGGGCCCGCGCACCGCAGTCAGTCCAGATTGGCCCCGGCTTGGGATTTGCATGTAGAGTTGTGTTTAATACCTCAAGGTTAGTGTGGCTCCAGAGTGGTGGGGGGAGGACGAGGGCATGCTGCAGACACATCGGCAGACTGGGCTCTGGGAAGCCAACGCTCCCCCCTCTCCCCCAATACCCCCCAACCCTGACCCCAGCCCCCCGCCCCTGTGTTGTCTGCTGTGTGACACACACTGATGGCAATAACTTCTCCCTGCTCCCCGCGGGAGCGGGAGAGGACTGTGGCCTGCACGCGAGGGTGTCTCTCGCCCCCTGTCCCGTCTGGGCTGCAGAGAGCCTTCCCTGCCGACCGTCTTTCCGGCAGCAGCATTTCTCACGGCGCCTCCCCCGTGGATGGGGTTCTGCCTTTGAGAGTCCGTGTTTCCGTGTGCCCCACTCATGTGCTCCCTCGGTCACCTGTCCTGGTCTTGCCCTTTGCTGGGAACGTGCTTGTAAACTGCATAACAAATCTACTTTGTGTATATGTGTGTTTATGGGGGTGGTTTATTATTTTTGCTGGTCGCTAGACGCCTTCACAGGACCATTGGGGTCTGAGCAGGCCAGGGGCTGACAGCTAAGCCAGGACCCTCGTGGGTGAGCCTGTTGGGGGGACCCAGCTGCTCTTGAACAAGTGGCTGAGCTCCTGTCTGGCCTCTTTTTTTTTTTTTAAGTAACTCGTGTGTATTTCTAACTGATCGTATTGAATAAAAAGAAAAAAAACAACCCTAGTACTTCAGTAAAAATGCCTGTTGTAAGATGAACCTCTTGTAACTTCTATCTGTTCTTTTTTGAGGCTCAGGGAGAAACTAGCATTTTTTTTTTCCGAACTACTTTTTGTCACTGTGACAGTTGTAAATAAAGTTTGAAAATGCTTTCCACTCTGGTCTGGCTTCCTTTCCTTCCCGCCTGCTACTTTGGAATGGAGAGAGCAGAGGGCCAAGCTGTGACCGGCAGGGGTCCGAGCTGGGGGAGCTTTACCGGCCTCACCTGTTGGCCCATCTGTGGCGTTATTATCAGTTGGCTGAACACAGGCAGCAGTTCTTTCAATCTAGAGGTTCTCAGTTCGGGATGCACTTCCGAAGGCCCAGGAGAGCTCAAAACACCGCAAGTACCGGGTCCTCCCAGTAGAAGCTTGGGTTTCAGAGCGGTAGTGGAAGTCCAAGCATTAGGAGCTTTTTGGAGTCACCTGGGAAAGTTTTAGTACACAGCTACAGTTTTTTTGTTTTTTTTTTTTGTTGTTTTTCCTAGATTGATTGATTTATTCGTACAGAACTGGGGTACAGGCCAGAGATGCGGAGGGTGAGAGGCTTCACCAGAAACGGTGTGGGGTACAGAACAGGCAGATCGATGAAGTACACTGCTGAGGGGAGCAGCGGGCGGGTCAGGAGAGGTCTGCCAGGCCATGTGGTCACCTCCGGGGCAGGTGGGATCGAACTCATGCGGAAGTGGCTTAGGCTTCTCAGTGCTGTGCTTTAACCTGCTGTGCCACCGGGGAGCTACAGTTGTAAGCCACCTTTCTAAGGGAAGGGGGAGAACTAGGCTATACTTAAGGTCATTCATGGGTGAGTGGGTGTGTGTGTGATGGAGATAAGAGAGTTCCATTGGCGGCATTTCTAAGAAGTCGAGATAAAATAGCCATGGTCCCAGTTCTCATGCACATCTTCAGTGTAGAGTTACATGACAGACATGGTGGGTGCAAAGCAGGAAAGCGGGTGCTCTGACCTGGAGCTGGGGAGGAGGGGTGAGGTTCCCAGAGAGCGAATTTCTAGCAGAGAGAGGGTTAGCGTGGCTTGACCAGTTAGAACAGTGAGGAAGTAGAACCCAGAGGGCTGCCAGGCCTGATTTGGGATTTCAGTCTCAGTAGGCCAGGAAAGGTATCATTTACACTTTTACTAGGGGTGGGGGCGGGAGGTCCCACTCGGGGAGGTCGGACTAAGCAAAGGCTACTTGGTGAAAGGGGTTTTTGGAATTTTTCTAACTCAAGACTGGACTGTGGACATTTTTGTAACCCAAGACTGGATAGTTTTGCTTTCACTTAGCCCACAATTGACCTCAACTATGGTAAAGGAAGATAATCAAGGAATCTATGAGGAGAGTCCTCTAGTATTAATCGACTTATCCATCTTAACATCAGCTTCAATAAAAACCATTTGAGCAGTGGGATTGCAGCGGGCTTGCAGCCCTGAGGATAATTTGCAGACCTGGACCATCCTCCTCTTGAATTAGCCCTGTTTCCTCAGACAGTCAGAGGGTGGAGCTTATTAGAACAAAGCTTCCTTGCCCCTCAGAAATTTGTCTTTACTCACAGATAATATCTATGAGCATGAAAGTCCTATAACGTCACCAAAATATTAACTACCTAATTTAACTTTCCTTCAGGATGTGACAATGTCTCAATGTCCATCATGACAATGTCCATCAATACTGACTGCCATTTGCCACCAGTCAAACAACTCTTGATGGGCTGATAGGAGTTCAGCACCATTATAGGGTCTAAGGTCAATATGCAATATGCTAGCAATAAACTATATTTCTATATACTAGCAATAAGCAACTTGATATATAAATTTAAAATAGTACTTATATTGGGACTGAAACCTGTAAGCTATTTAAGGGTAAATCTGATACAAAAGATGTACAAAACTGCTTCAGTGAAAACTCCAAAACACTGCTGGGAGTGATGAAATAAGGAAATAAGATGTACCTAAAGAGATAGGTATACCATGTTCGTAAATCCAAGGGCTTGTCAACTCTCTTCAAATTGATCTACAGTTTCAAAACAAAGAAAATCCTAGCAAGATTTTTTTTTTGTAGAAATTGACAATCTAATTCTGAAATCTATATGGAAAAGATCTACAATAGCCTAAACAACTTTGAAAAATAACAATGCGGGAAGACCCAAATTTCAATTTTAAACCTAATTACAAAGACATGGTAATAAAAACAATGTAGTGTTGACATCAAAATATACAAATACACTCATGGAACAGAACAGACTCCAGAAATAGATCCACACATATGGTCATCAACTGAGTTTTGAAAAAGGTGCCAGGATAATTCGGTGGAAACAGAGTAGACTTTTCAACAAATGGTGCTGGAACAATTGGATAAACATGTGCAAATATCCCTTGAGAAAGGGAAGCATGAGTCTTCACTTCTCTGTGTCACGATTTTTTTTTTTTTAAGATTTATTTACTTATATGTACAAGAGCTAGGGTATAGGCCAGAGGTGGGGATGGGTGTGAGGGACAGAGTGGGGAGCAGAACAGGCGGATCCACTAAAATACACTGCTGAGGGGAGCAGTGGGCGAGACAGGAGAGGTCTTCTGTGCCATGTGGGTCATCTCCCTGGCCAGGGACTGAACTCAAGCTGCAGTGGTTGCAGATAGCATCATAGAGCTGTGCTTTAGCCCCTTGCACCACCAGGGAAGCCCCTTCCATGTGATTTTCTAAAAAGTATAACACTTCTATTTAGAAAAAATAATCCCCTTTTCAGCGATATGGAGATTTCTCAAAATATTAAAAATGGATCTGTGATCCAGCAATTCCACTCCTAGTTACCTGCCCAAAGAATACAAAAAACACTGATTTGGAGAGGTATCTGCACTCCCATGTTCATTGCAACACTATTTACAATAGCCAAGCTATGGAAACAAACTAAGTGCCCAACAACCTGTGACTCGGTTAAGCTGACTGGTATACTACACACACAGTGGAATAGCACTCAGTTATCAAAAGAGAAGATGAACCTTTGCTATTTGTGGCAACATGCATAGACCTGGAGAGGATTCTGCTAAGTGAAATGTCAGAAGAGGAAAGGCAAATACCAGCTGATTTCACTCAGAGGTAGAATAGAAAGAAACAAAACAAAGAAATGGACAAAACTCAATCAAAACAAACCCTAGAAATCTAACTGTAGAATTGAGGTTTTACAGGGGGTGGATAGTGTGTGAGTGGGGGAAAGGTACAATGAACTGTGGTAGGGGGTTATGGGTGCTGCGGGGGTGGGTGTGGCAAGGGTGTGGCGAGGTCACATATCTGAAGAAAGCACCTCTACCCCTGAATCATATACAGTGTTGTGAACCCATTTCTGAGTGACTCCATCACTCAGAAATATGACAACGAAAAAAAAAGTGATTTCCTTTTCAGGTTTGACCAATGGCTTCAGGACAGAGGTTGACTCTTTCCTGCCTAAAGGAAGGTTGGGTAGCAACCTGTGAAGATGTTATTCAGCCTGCTTTGCATCTAAGTCCTTCTCTATCGCTTCATATTTGGTTTGGGGTCAGTTTCTTAATGTCCAGCATCTTCAGTGTTCTTGCCTATGAAATGGAGATAAGTCTAGTGCCTCCAGCATAAGAAGGTGCGGATGGAGCATTCAGTGGGTACTCCATAAGTTGGGGTACTTTCTTTCCTTTGAAGATCTGGTGGTTGGGAACTGGCCTCTGTCCTCCCTGCATTGTCTTTTGCTCTGGGCTCTTTGCATCCGGATCTCAAGGTCAAGTCACCTCCCTCCTCTGGAGTGCAATTGCCTTAGCCTGCAACTCGTGCTTCTCCCATGGAGGCAGGGGAAGGTATGGAGACAGCACTACAACGTTAATGCTTTCTGCCGCCTGAAATTTTGGAGCAGGAAGGAGTCATTTTCCATCGAGGTGGGTGTAAAGTTCCACTTGGTTCCTTTTTAAAGAGGCGATCCTGTTTGAAGAGATGCTTGAGTTTTGTGTAGCAGGGACAGGGATTCGAGGCCTCGGGAGCAGTAGCAAGAACCCTGCCATAGAAACGGAATTCACTTTTTGAGGAATATCTGCAAAGCCAGCAGGACTGGAGTAGAGGAAAGAAGTAGCTGAGGTTGGTTGGCAGAAGGCGGGGCTGAGAAACACCATTGACTGTTATGAGACATCGTAGCCCCTGGAAATCCTCTGTCAGCCCACCCAAAGCGGTCTGACTGGTGGCAAATGGCAGTCAGTATTGATAGACCCGAGACATTGTCACATCCCGAAGGCGAGCTAAATTAGGTAGAATTAATTCAGTTTGCACAACTATTCTCCAATTACTGAAAGGCGGTGGTGACTTAGAGAAGGGTTTCTGAGGCCGACTCCTGTATTTGTAGCCAGCTCTGCCTCTGACTACCTGCATGACCCCAGTCAAGTTCCTTTTCTTCTCCGTCTCATTTTCCTCATCTGTAAGATGGGAACCCACTTCATAGACTTGTAGGGGGGTTTAAGTGTAACCCACGCTTAGAATTCGACTGAGCACATGAGTCCTCAATAAGTGATAGCCACTATGGCAGGCAACCCCTAACACACACCTTCAAAGATGTTCACATCCTAATGTGAGACCAGTGAGAACTAACACTGCAGGTAGAATCACTAATCAACCAATGGCTTGCAGAGCCTAGATTATCCAGGTGAACCCATCATAATTGATGATGGGAGGGGGGAGGGAGAAATGTGTCAGTGTCCAGGGAGACTTGAAGACGTTGCTGACTTTGAAGATGGAAGAAGGGGTTACCAGTGCAGGAAGGCACGCTAGAAGAGGGAAAGAGCAAGGGAATTTTCCCTCGAGCCCCCAAAGGACACAGCTCTGGCAACACCTCAGTTTAGCAATGACACCCATCTTGGACTTCTCGCTTCTAGAATGGTAAGATAATAAATTTGTGTTGTATTCAGTTACTAAATATGTAGCAACTTGTTATAGTAATTAAGAAAGCAACACAGTCATCACTACAGTGATGACCACGAGGGCAATGGTGGTGGTGGTGACGACCTAGGCGTTTCCTTAGAAACCACAGTGGCAATGGATGGGAGAGGGGTGCAGACAGACCGAGACCACGGCCGGCAGCCGGGGCCCGCATCTCCCAAGGCTTGGTGTCTTTTCA